ACAAATATTCAAATTGCTCACAGTCATGTCATGTTAATTGACAGATTGTAATATTTGAGCTTGTGTAAAATAAAACTTTTTTCTTATACTGACTAAGGCCATGTCTACATCTATTCAAGTTTCTTACATGTCACATTTAGATAAGCTAAATAAATGGCCCTTTCAATATTTTATCAGGCACAATTTTTACTGAAATGTCTAATTAAGATTGCCCAGGATTTATACCTTTGTCTTTGCAATACTATCATGTTTCTGTAAAATATGTGAATAAAAAAGCGGGAAAATGATGCAATTAGCTAAAAACAATGGAGTATATATTGAAATGTGTACATCCTTTTAAAATAATGGAAAATGTGAGAAAAATATTTTTGAGCTGATAAATTGATGCAAATTCTTTATTTGATGAAAGTTTTCGACTAAATGAACAAGATCATTTAAAATCCATTTTGACTACTTGAAAAACTGATTTCTTCTTCTTTTTCCTTTTTTTTGCTCTTCTGTGTATCAATGTTACATTGATCTGTTCCTCTGTCCAAGATATTTTATACATTTACTAAAATTTATAGGTCATGAACCAAAAAAGTCAGAAAATAGGATGTGTTCTAACTTTCTTGCAAGGAATTATCTTCTTGGATGTCACATAATTTCTCTTTAAAAACCATTCAAGTAGAGTGTCTACACTATCCAATACAAGAGAATATGATACTTGCATAGATGTAGACGGGCCCTAAGATAGCAGTAAAGGTATATACTCAATACGAAAATGTATAATTTATTATCATATACAGCAGATACAGAGAGCTTTTAGCAAGTAAATGTATAATAATATGATCATAGGAGCATCCTAACTGTGCCTAAGTGGTTAAGGTGCTCGACTTTAAACCACTTGCCCCTCACAGCAGCTGTGGGTTAAAATCCCACCAGAAACTTTATGATTTCCATGTGAGGAAGCTTAATCCAGCTAGCTTACAGAATGTACATGGTTCTACTCAGGTGCCTGTTTGTGCCTGAAATAATGCATGGAGGAGCACTTGAGGTCTTCATCCACCAGTAAAGCTGGAATCCTGTATGGGTTTTTCAGCCCCTTGATGATTATGGAAAAATCACTGGCTGTTCCCATTTGTTTAAAAATGCATCGCTACTGGATCGTTGTACTTGGTCCGTATTCTTGAGAAGATATCTTTGCTATAGCATGTCCCCTGTTTCACCAACATAAATATAATCTTTGCAACACTTAAAACTGCATTCGTCAATTTACACAAGATCTGATTGGGTACCTTGTACGAGGCCCTGTTCACAGCAGTAAATGGTTCTGCTTCAATGACGTAAGGACAAATTGCACTCATTTGAGATCTGCCAGGAGCTGAATTCCTGTGCTTTTACTTTTGCTGGTACAGGATGACTTCAGGTGCATCTTTGGTGCATTATAAGGTATTTGAAGAGAACCACTCACCTAATCCATAATTGAGATTAAATGAAGGAATCTCTGACATCCCTATTTTGAACCAATGGTGGAATTTAGGGGCAAGTGATTTGAAAATTTCGACCTTGAAACCACTTGGTTGTGGAGGCCCCAAATTACATCAATAATTTACTACTTTAAGTACTCTTTTGGTACATCTGTTTATGTATTTAACTTATGTGATACAGTCAGACAAGGCTAAACGCTGATAGTATTTTGTGATTTTTAAGCCATAAATAACAATCTTCAAAGCTGAAATAAAATGTTTATGTTTAATGGGGACTATTACAAAGCGTTACCATCCATATTAAGTAAGCCATTAAATCATGACCCATGGTTGACAATGGATTAGTATGAAAAAATTATATAGCTTAAATATTGTGTTTTATGTCGACTTTGCTGTCTTTCATCTTTTCTCCAAAACCTCACACTCAAAAAATATAAAAATGAGTAAAAACAAGAAAAAAACATGTACTTTTTAGCTTGATTATTATTATTATATTATAAGATTATTAATAATAGGGAGAGCTATCCCCTGTGTCAGTGTCGCACATTTTAAAGCAGCCTTTAGCTTTTCTAGAGGTTAAATTGTTATTTTTAGAAAAATCATTTCATATAATTCACAAATCAAAAGTCGATAGAATCCATATTAACAAAAGGGAAACCCCTGATACCATTCTACTCTCTATATGTAAATAAGTGAATTATTATTATGCAATTATTTGCTGTCTAACAATGAGGAACCGCTTGATACCTCTAACAAATTGGTCCGCTCTATATATGTAAAATTAGTAAAGGGGATGATTGGTTTCCCAATCTTCTATTTTAGAAACATTAATGTCGCTAATGCGCTATAAATAGCTCTCGGATGCTGCTTTGAAGGAGGAGATAAAACTTATGAAATATTTAGTTTGAAACATTGTTTTTCCAACAAAAAATAAATGTTAAATGCTGCTTATAATAAAGAAATTTGTTAATATAATTAATACAATTTGTGATACACATTTAGAACCTGTCATGTTATTTGGTGAATTCATTTATTGTGAACAAATTACGTTAAAATATTTTTTCACCAGCTGTAAGGAAGTTACAAGTTTAAAAGGAGAAAGTTATAAAATTTTGATTATCAAAATTATGCAAATCAGTTTAACACATTAGATATGTATTATAATACTTTATGACTCATAGCTAGTATATGAACTACCCACTTAAATGACATTAAAAATTATTTGATGCAAATTTGGTGAGGTTTTTTTTTTTTAGAAAATTGGGCAATAAATCATAAAAATGCCACTTTTCATTGAAGTCTTCATGTCATATTTTTAGTGTGTGTGCATTAACAAAATTGTAACGTAACTGTTACTGTGATCTATGTTTACTAAAGCAGTATACCCATTGGTTTTCATTAAATAGAGGATATTTGTTTGTTTCAGTGTAAGATCGAGAAATATTTCACCGAGTGAACACCAGATGCAATATTTTCCACGAGTGGCGTAGCCACGAGTGAAAATATAATAGCTGGGGTTCACGAGTGAAATATTATTTGATCTTACATGTAAAACAAACAAATTTTCTGTTTATTTCATGATTTTTTAACGATTTTTACACCATTTTACTGATTTTTGCCGCATAACGTCATGCTCTTATCTTCATGACGTCATCAAATAATGACGTCACAATGTTGAAGCAAAATATAATTCCATGATTATTTTTAGATTTTAGATGTTTTTCAGCACAACGTTCGTAAATATTTACGAACTACAGTTATCACGTACATTTGTTATTATGATTGACTACATTTCCGCTGAAAAAAAACATTCATTAATGATAAATATTTTATTTTTACGCCAAATATAGTTCGGCTACTGTGAAATTATATTTGGTAATCATTACTGTGAAATTATCAGAATATAATTAACCGTTATAATTCAGTAATCTACTGCAAAACATGTAATAAAATAAAGATCCTGTTATTATTGTCAATAGAATTGTTACCCAAAACTCGGCAAATGTGGGTTTTTCCAAGCTATCTGTAGGTACAAACAATCTTTTACCGTTAATTACAGCTTCGAGGTGCACGTAACCTGTCACCATAGATTAGCCAACCTCTTGCCCTTACTTTTGAAACTGTAACTATAAATTTAAAGTTTGTTTGTCACCTACGACTTAGCTGGGAAAAACCCAAATATTCATAGTTGGTCTATGCTTGTATTGTAATTCAATTTTCCCATAAAAATAAAGAATGGTTTTGTCCACATTGAAGGATGGACAAGTCTATTTCAGATATAAAGCATTGTAAGGATTGATATTTAGACATAATGTCTGTTTTTGCTCCAATAATATTTTGGAAGAACTGAATCAATGGCCTTGCAATCATCTAATGGACAGTTTTCTCTCTTTATTGGGAAGACTAAGGCCTAAACCTCTTGATTTTGGCAATAATGAGTGCTAGAATTGCTAATTTAGAAAGTAAAAAGGCTGGTATACTAAAAGTTATTTTTTTTATCATGGACAGCCTTTAGACATAGCTTGTTAAAAATAACACATTGCTACCCATTATGAGATAGTTCTGCATCAAAAAACATTTTGTCACCATAAGTGCAGTAACTGGTTAACTCCTATTGAATTATGTAAGGAGTTAGCCCGTTCCTGCACTTAGGTGAAAGAACAGTATAATCAGAAGTAGGTGATGCCATTAATGATTTATTGAATGATGGATATACAATGTAATACCACTGGACTGCTGTGAATGTTTTCAATGGAATAATATACTCCAGTAGGGCTTGTGCATTGAATAAAGATGTATTTAATCCATGAATGTGATAATTTGATTGAATTCAGGAATGTTTTCTAATTAATTAATCTTTTGTGACTTTAAATTAGGTATTGAGTCTGTTGATTAAAAAGTAAGCCAATATGCAGTTAGATAGAGCATTTTAGGATTTAGTGTTCAATGTTGCATTATAATTAATAATGCTGAGTTTTGCAGAGTATCTTTAGCACTAAGTGATATAATCTTCATATTTTATGAAAATATAAGAAACAACCATACTTTTATGACACTTCATTTAGATTATTCATATATAATATGTACTCATTGACACCTTATAGGGGCATCCATGGCTGAGCGGTTAAGTTGTTGACTTCAAACCACTAGCTCCTCAATACTGTAGGTTGAAATCCTGTCAGAGACTACATATTGTTTCTTGTGAAGATGCTATCATGCTAGCTTACAGAATGTTGATAATTCTACTTGGGTGCCTGTTTGTGTCTGAAGTAATGCATGGAGGGACACTTTAAGGTCTCCCTCCACCAGTAAAGCTAGAAAATTGCCTTATTACTTACAAAGTGTGGGTGCAATGTAAAACCTAAAATTTAATAAATAAATAAATAAAAAATAATTATGTATAAAATAATCCCAAATTTTGGCTGATACGTACATGGAGTTGATACATACATGGAGTGATATCCATTTCCATTAGCAACAATTACCCACTGTTGTAGATTACTTAATTTTGCACATAGATGCATGTAATAATATTATATATATTTTTGTATATTTTCAGAATGAATGTTCTACAAGAAAAGTCAGCATCGCCATAAGAATGGCTACAAAAACGGTTACTACATGAACGGAACCACTGCAAACGGGGCCTCTCTTGGGCCGGAATATTCCGAGCCAGAAGCCCCCATCCGTCCAAACCCCGAAAAATACCTTCCCATACCAAGATTAAAATTTGGAACTGCTGCCGGTCTAGTATTTCTAATCTCCGTCGTTTGTTTTGCCGTCAGCTATGATGGAGACATGGTATTTGATGATAGTGAAGCCATTGTGGGCAATAAAGACTTGCTACCAGAAACTCCTATATCAAATATATTTTATAACGACTTCTGGGGAAAGAAGTTGGACTCAAAAACAAGTCACAAGTCATACAGACCACTGACTGTCCTTACTTATAGGTGAGTATTAAAGGGAGATAATTTGATGATTTCATCAAAAAAATTAGTACTGTACAAGAATGTAAAATTGGGGCACAGTTACTAATATAGTACCGCATAGGATTTATATTTATACGTGCAATTCATTTAAGGAGAAAGTTATTACTTTAATAAAACATTTTTCTTTGGAAAACTAACTGATTTATTTGAATATATATATTTTCAAAAAGTTTTCTGTTTCCTTTCATAAAGAGAATAATTATGACCTTTGTAAAACTAGGTTATCGGTACAAATTGTTAGAAATGTACTTTTCTTAAATGTCCCGTCCAAAAAGAATTCTAGTATTAAAGGATACAACTGTTTGTAAATGTAAGAAAAACACTCTTGTGACTTGTTGTTTATTTTTGGTACCCATTACACAAGTATTTTTCATTTGGAGAAAGCATTTGCATTTTAACTGATATATCACCCTTTGTGAACTTTCATGGTAATGTATTACACAACATTTAGGATAATGAAGCATACTGTCCTTATGACAGCTCAAGTACTTTTCTCTCTGTTTCTTTCAAAAATCTTGTCTTAGAGAAATTTAAAAAGAAAAAATTCTTACCTGACCTACCTTTGTTCTTTTGGTTGGAGACCTGAGTAACAGTAATATTTTTGTGTTTTCTTTAATAGGCTTTCTTGCCTGTAATGACTTAATTATATTTTGTAAATTAATCAAGATAAAACATACTAGCTATAAAGTTCCTATATCCTACCATTAAAATGCCCATGTTTTCTGTTACAGACTAAGTTATTACATTGGCGGAGGACTAAAGCCGATCTATTTCCACATTCCAAACATCATACTACATGGGATAGTTTCTGTGTTACTTCTCCGCACCTTCTCCATTTTATTCGGGGGTTACACTGTTGATGTTGACTCAGGGAAGACACAATTTATGGCAGCAAAGTCTGCTATACTCTGTGCACTCTTGTTTGCTGTACATCCTGTACATACAGAAAGTGTAAGTAGAAAATTTACATAAAGCGTAAGTAGAAAATCTACAGAAAGTGTAAGTAAGAAATTTAAAGAAATACAGACCGCGAAAATTGAAAATTACAGAAAGTGTAAGTGAAAAATAAAAATTACAGGAAATGTGGAAGAATGAAAAATAAGAAAGTGTGAGTAAAAGAATAAAATTTAGAGTACAAAATTTAAGAGAAGAATGAAATTTAAAGTACATGAAAGTAGAAGAATACAATTTACAAAAAGTGTACATAGAAAAATTAAATATATTGTCAGTTTAATTAGGAGAATTTCATTAACCTACCTTGTTGTATCGGTACTTTTTCATAAATGTAAACCATACCAATACAACTGTTGAGGTCATGTGGCAACCTTTTTTTGGTTTTAATGGAAGGCCTAAAGTACCCTTTCATGCATAGTTTCTGGTGACATGTGCTTCCACCAGAGTTAACCACTTCACCTTTCATTAGCTTTCTTAAAACCTTTTCCCGTTGTGTTCCTGGTTGACCATTAATCAACATCAATAAGGACAAGTAACTCCAAGTCTTCAACTTAACACTTGGCAATTTAGGCCCCAACAATATAGAAAGTACTTTAAGATCATTTCAGATTCTTTTCTTGATCCTGCTGGAACCAAAAGGGATCAGCCTTTGCCACCAGAATAGAGCCTGGCCAGCCTGTACATCTGTGCAATTTGACCAAGCTCTATAAAATTGGCTGACTTTAACACAAATTTCATTCTGATATTCCCAAAATTGATAATGGACCTTTCCAAAAATAAAACCCAGAGACAATAATCCATTTAAGAAATTAAGCAGATTAAATGACTCTACTTAACAAACAGATGATAAATATACTTCTGAATACATATTTCAAAACTTTAAAGGAAATAAAAATTGTACAAAATACAAGGATAGGAATCAAATGTTTATGTTTGATTTATTATGTCTGGTTGTCAATATAAAATATCATCCTTGAAATGGCCTTTTCCTGGTCAGACATTCATTTGTGATATTTCTGTGTATTATTTTACTTTATGAGTGGATTTATTACAAATGCAAGCTGGTTATTCTTTTTAATGATGATTACAGCATTATTATAAGGTCTAAAGGAAATATAGTTCATCATAAATAATGGAATAATGGGGCTATCATACTCACCCTCATGGGTTTGTTGAAATACTAAGGTTGATAAGTGTGACTTCATTATTCCATAAACATTTGATTCCAGGACGGTGCTGGTCACTTTCGTTGTAATTAATCATGAAACCCTTTCTATGATCATTATTACTGTACCTCTGCTCTGGCATGAACAGAAGTTATAGTTACTTAAGAGGGTGAAAGCAACTTGTACTGGTAACTTGCTTGACAGACTGCCAAGGAACTGGCTGAACTGTGCTCTGGTAAATTCAATGTGGCCTACAATACTGCCATGAATTATAGCGAGAACTACCAACACCACCACCATGCCATAAACAACTGATAGTAATCACTACAAACTTTATAACACATTGATTTTTAGGCTCATAGTTGTAGATCTCTTTCCAAGTCTCATAATGTTGTCTTATTGCATGTTAAGTCCTTTTAAATTTAATAGGAGTTAATCCGAGTTTTTTCACTAAGGTGATGATAACTAGCATGGATTTGGAATAAATAATTTCCGTTTGTGCGCATTTCTGCATTACCCTCATGTTTATCATCGAACACTGGCAATGTTCAATATTGCTGACATTCAGAAAGCTTTTGTATTAAGATTTTACACAATTCACTTAAAGCCCATATCTCGTGCATGATTTTACCAGTATATATAATGTTATATTTGCAGGTGTCTGGTATAGTGGGAAGAGCTGATTTATTGTGTGCTATATTATTCATATCATCATTTCTGCTGTATGTTGAAGCATGTGCCACAGGTTTGTCAGCATTTTGTTTTTCTACTAAAAATCTCTGTATGATTTAGTGACAATAAAGACTTGCACATACTACCTCTATAGAGCCAGGTTTAGCATACATGTACATGATTAAGCCTGATCAGACTGTATACATGTACATGTATACTAGTAGTGGACTGTTTGATGAATTGCAACAGGGATTTTGGATTCTTTCATGTGAGGAAGCTATCCATCTAGCTTACAGAATGTTGGTGGTTCTACTTAGGTGTCTGTTTGTGTTTGAAATAATGCACAGATCTTCCTCCACCAGTAAAGCTGGAATAGTCACCTATACTGTGTTGATGTGATGTAAAACCCAACAAAAAAAATAGGGTGATTTAAACCCTTCCTGTTCTATAAATTACAGATGTAATAGTATAAATGGATTTGTCCATGTTTCATTTTTGATGATACTTTTCATCATTTTCAGGGAATATTTCAAAATAAGATTTGACTCAGCTGGGAACAGTGCTGATCTTAGTCTGCATTGGTTGCTTGGTTAGAATCTGTTGCTACCAGCAGGCTAAGCAATTCAAATTTGAATATCAAATGTTTCCAAAATTAATGGATCTTTTCATATTCAAAGCATAATTATGGCAAATCATTTGCATAAACTTGGAAAGATTAAAAAAGTTTGATAATTTGTTAGCAAATAGAAAAGATGCAACAGTATTTTTTTAATTAAAACAAAAATAATTTCAATATCATTGTCTCAAGGTGTGATTGCAAGTTTAGGTGCTAGGTGTCGTGGACAGTAACTTGCACTTTCCAGTTCTTTCCATGAACAGGCTCAATCAAACTGAGTCTGCAACATTTTGTTGTTTTGGGAATTCTTTATTACTTCATTTTCAGATCTTATTTTTAAAAACTTAGTAAACTCATTTTCATTTCTTAAAAACTGTAATCACTTTATGACCAACCCTGTCTTTGAACACGTTTTTAGGCACTAGGGATTTTCTTTCATTGGAATATCATGAAAGGATGCATTATGACCTTGATTGTCTAAAATTATGTAGTTTTTTTTAAACCCAAGATAACCTTAAAACGCTTTGATAAAACTTTGTATTAGCAATATAAACTTTAAATATTAAAGATATCAAGAATTAATCAATAATCAAGTAAAGGCAATTAATAACAAAACAAAGAAACAAACAGTGTAACAGATTAAATGTAATGTTGAATAGACTGAGAATCCATGAGTCATAGTGAATGTAGACATGTTTTATTGACAATGTTTATATATGGCTTTATACAGTTTTACAGTCAGCTTATGCAATAAAATGAGGATTTAGCACCTTATATCTGCTAATTTTATCATGTGTGAAACTACTGTACATCATGCACGAAGAATAAAGATTGACTGCACACTTGGTAACCTTGAGGCTTTAACATGTGATTGTAGATTAACAACTTGATGATTGAGATAAATATCACTCTAAGCTGAAGTAATACATCTGTTTATGTGTCTGGGTAGTGGGACATAAAATATTTACCAGTTTCTAATTATAAGCCTCCTAAATTAGTGTAATGAGCTAGTCTAAAGCTTTGAATTAGAACTGTCCATTACAAGATTCAGGGATTTAGTTATGAAAAATATAAAATTGATAAGCCTCATGGGATTGCATGGGTTTAGCAGACTGTCCTAGCAGAATGAGACTGGTGTAGGTGTGTTAACCATGGAAGTAGTTAACAATATGAGTTCACTCTCCTAGAGCTTGTGTGTCTCTATTGATTTAATTAATTTAAAGGGGCTTCTGTGGCTTAGTAGTTAAGGGTGCAGACTTCAAATCACTTGCTTCTTACCACTGTGGGTTGGAATCCCATCAGGGTCTTTGGATCCTTTCATGTTAGGAAACTATGCAGCTGTATTATGGAAGGACAGTGGTTTCGTACATTAGCTCTTCATCTTCAAATGTGAAAGTCAATGTCCATAGCTTCTGCTTAGATACCTGCACTGTTAAAATGAAACAAACATTGAAGTATTGTCCATATTTAGAATGCAGCATGTGTAAACAATACAATATTGCAACATCTATATATTACAATCTGCAGCTTCATGGCAGTTTATTTAAATTTATTCAGATTTTAAAAAATCTACATCGTAAGTTATGCTTTTAATGTACACCTGCATTTTGAATAATGACCTCATAAAATATTGAATGATGTAAAGTATAGCTCATGTTTCGATGCAGATTTAAGATGTTTTGACGTAAAATTGCGTAATTGGTTTCAATTATCAATGATAATATTTTTAATGCATCAGATATTTAAAGATCCTGTATGTTTTGTGATTGATATTGTTATTGTGTGTATACCACACTTGCAAAAAATTATATATGCATATAATTATGCAAATAAAATAATTTTCAAACATCGAAGAATATGTAAAATGTGTACTGCAAATATTTGTGCACATCATATTTAATCAATAAATTACAGGCATTCATTTCTTATTGGAAAATTTGACTTAGAATTTATAGAAAATAAATTTCTAATTACCTCCCTTTATTTACATGAAATGTTAAATTGGGTAATATTTTTATAAATAATGCTTATTGGAACTTACAATATTGACAAATCTTAATTTGAGCATCATATTTATAAAATAAAACCATGAAATAATTGTGTTACAGGATCTTTAACTAAATGGTGTAATCATTTGAAGTAATAGATACAGTAATGACTTGTCAATACTACCAGTATAATATTAGTTAGAAAATTATATTGCAAACAAACATTTATATACAGCCATATAACCTTTATATCAAATAATGAAATTTATACTTCCTTTTTTTTAAGAGAAAAAAGAGAAAAAAGAAAAGAGATTTCTTCATAAATTGACAGCGGCTGTGTGTATTATTAGTTATAAAAAATTTTGACAATTTATATGGCCCTATATAGTGGCTTGGGTTATATTCTAAACAAATGTTTATATATTGCCATGAAACCTGTCAGAAATATTTATAATATATTATACAGCAAAGCAAGCATCTTTTTTAGAGAAAAAAGTGAGATTTCTTCATAAATTGACAGCAGCTGTGTATATAAAACTATATAAATGTAATGACATATATCCAGTGAAAAATGATGTTACAAACATGCAGTATTATAATATTACAAAGTATGATAATGTGTCAAAAAGACCAGTCTGCATGTTGTGGCGCAGTTTTATTGTACCCAATACTCATGCCATGGCTATTGAATTTACATATGTTGATTTGCAAATCTCTCATGTATGTAATAAACAGGTACTCAAGACCATTCAGTTTTGCAGAATAAGAATGGAAATGGTAAATGTATGTTTGAAACTTTCCATAACATTAGATACTTATCTAATTAGAAATCTTGCTTTTGATTTTGAAAATAAAAAATGGGAAAGTTATGGAAACGTTCATTCTGGTCTTATTGAAGTTTTCTGTTTTGAAGGAAAACAATGCAAAAATACAAAAAGAGTACAGGCTCAGTCAAACCAAATTTAGTTGTGATTAATGCTTCCGAGGGATCCTCCTCCTTCCAGATCTTAAAATGTGGTGTTGAAATCAGATGGAAAGTAATACTTTTATGCTTAAATGCTTTTAAAAGGCTTCATTTTTATTTTTCAGACTTACAGAAAAAAGATGATAGGTTGACGATGTTCCGTCCAACATGTTTTTCTATGCAGTATATGTTTTCTAGTATGACACTATGTGCCTTATCTGTGTTCTGTAAGGAACAAGGAATCACAGTTATTGTAAGTACTATAATCTAGAAGTAGGAAAAGCTCTTAAAGCTGCATGCCTCCAGATGAGCCAAAATATTTCAAAAAATTGAAATTGAGAAAAATGATTTAAGATTCAGGTGATAATTTACATGTTATTTGGGATTAATTTTACATAATTTAACACCATATGTCTACTGTGTTACTATCAAGTTAGGGCTTTTTTTTGTTATTGTGGTAATTTACTTTGGTTGCATGTGCTGCTTGTAATGATAATTATTTTTTTGTTCACTTTGTAATTTTTTACTTTTAAGTACATTTTTAATTTTTTTTATGAAAATTAGCATTAATCTAGAGGCATGCTGCTTTAGGGATTGAAAAGTCATGAGTTCAAGTTGTATCAACGACTCTGAAAGTTTCCTTAAGCAAGAAATTTACTATTCATTGTGCCGCTTCACCAGACTGTAAATGGGTATCTGAAAAGGCATTATGATTCAGTGGCTCAATGATTTAGGCTTACATAATAAGGCGAGTAGGAAGATCAGTAAATGGATTTTAGTAGCCAAGATATCAATGTCAAATTTTTTCAGCTTTTATTTTCTGTTGGAAAAACAATTCTGTTTCAAAAACAGTTTCAAACTAAGAATTTAAGTAATTCTTTCTAACGGAAAAGTGCATCATAATACTGTAAAGCAGTCTTCAAAACGGCTTCTAGAGAGCTATTTATAAAGTCAGTGACATTTATTTCCAAAAATAGATCGGGAAACAAATTGACTGATCCAAACTGATACCATTTTTGGAAAGTTTGCATTTTGCAGTATATTGACTTTTTCTCTTCCATTTGGAAGATTACGAAGTGTCCAAAGTATAATATTTAAGTTTACTTCCTAATTGTTGCATGTATATTTGTTTATTTCATGATACAATGTATTTTGTAATGGCTGTGACATCATGTAAATATTTATTTGTTACAGGGTATCTGTAGTGCCTATGACATTATTGTTGTTTGTGGAGTAGATCTTCTAGAGCTTGTTGGCCTTAGGAGAAAGTTTCAGCGACCTGTTGTTGCCAATGGTAACGGAAATGGTAACAGTAAATCAGAGGTACAAATTTTAATAACTACAGTCCTATACATACTTTATTATTCACATATTATCTTAATTTAAAAAAAAAAACCCTATTGTAAATGATATTATTCAATGACATTGAACTTATAACATATAAACCTTAATTTTCTTAACACATATTGAAGTGGGTGCCTTGTAAGTTGTAGCAAAACATTTTTAACTAATTTGATTTCAGGAGAGTTCAGTACCTGCCTGGGTATCATCATTAATCAGACGTCATGTGATTTTGTTTTTTTTGGGGTCAGTATTGTTTTCCGGGGGGAAAATTTGGGGACAACACCCCACTTTTTAAGTTTTGATAAACCTCATTTTATTGCCAATGGAACCATTATAAGGGGAATCTCTAAAATTTCTATAAAGTACAAATCATTATTTTCTTCAACTTTTAAAACATTTATCAATTAGCTAAAAGGAGACACTGAAAAATAACCCAAAATTTAAAAAAATTTATAATATTTTCCCCCCCCTTGTCAAAATGGTATCAAAATTTTTTTTTTTATTTAATCTTAATTATTTGGGGTCCTGCCCAAGTGGTTAAGTATTACTTCAAATACGCCCCCCCCCTTTGGGTTCGAATCCCAAAAGGACTTTTTATGGAAAATCCAGTCTGGGAAGCGTTGTTTTACTCAGGGGGCCGTTGTGCCCGAAATAATGCAGAGGGACTCAGGGCTTCCTCCCCCATAAACTGGCGACCTAGACCATATTGTAGGGGTTTCTTAAAACCCCAAAAACAAAAAATCTTTTTTTATGACAAAAAACAAAAAAATCAAATTTGAAAACTAAATTTAAAGCATTTTCACATTTTTTTTGTACAATGTAGCAAAAAATTATTTTAGCACCAAAAGTAAAATTTTATCAGTTTTAACATCATGATGAAATTTAAAAATTTTTTTTTTTATCTTAAAAAATTTTTTTATCTTTAAGCGATGTATATTGGATATCTCAAATGTCAAGGGGGGAAAATATGTATGCAAAAAAATCGTTTATTGGGTGCTGTTCATCCTTGCAAATTATCATTCATTTTCCCCTCTCTGTTTGGGTTAAAATTTTTAAATAAGCTAAACTTTCATCACAAGCTAAAAAATTGCTAAAATGACCTTTAACCTTTTGACTTCAAGCTTTTAAAACATATATTTATAGTCTAAAACTAAAAAATTTCCATTATTTGGCCGGAATTTCAATTGTCTATAATTAATAAAAGTAAAATTTGATTTCAATTTAAACGTAATAAAACAGTCTTTCATGACCCAAAAAAGATAAATTAAAAAATAAGGTCTCAAAAAGGTACTGATCGGAGAACTGTTTCTCCAAAAATGGTACAATTTTAAATTTAAACTCGCAAAAAGGGGCATGATTTTTTTTTATACTGTATTTTAAAAAGATACAGCGTTTAAAATATTTTAGTTTTGCACAAATTTTTTTAACTATTCCCGTCATTCACGCTGGAAATATATGTATTTATCGAAAAAGTCTTTTCTATTTTGGGGTTTAATTATAATTATTTGTATTCAATAAATGCCTGGCTGCTGGTAAATCCCTGGTGGTTGTGTTTTGACTGGTCAATGGGCTGCATCCCTGTAATTGAAAGTTTTGGAGATGCAAGAATTATAGCTTTGGTCACAGTCTGGGTTATTATTGGTACTCTGGTGTGGACATGTTTGAAGAAACCAATAACACAGGATCAAAGGTAGGACATAAATAATTCATATTTGCTCTTTAAATATTTTTCATAGTGTCATATTACTGACCTTTTGTATAAAAGTCAAGCTAAAACAGAAGCACAATGGTGATTAATCTATTGTGAACTGTAATGCATCTTAAAGATATAATGATAAAAATTTGTTTGTGCAGGGAATAAGCCTGAAAAAATCCCACATTTACTGAGTTCTATATATAACAGCTATTACTCTCTTAATGAAGCCCAAGTAGGGAATTTTCATACATTAATAAAACTCAATTTTCTTGTATGGAAAAAGACATGAAAACGTAAAAAAAAAAACAAGCTAAAAAGTAAAAAGCACAAGCTTTAATCGTATGTGTACCATAGAGGATCTATTATGACATAATCATACATGTTGCTGGTTGACTTTTAGCTCAACCATTGGAAGAATAGTGAAAGCTATTGTACTCACCCAGGTGTCTGCATCACAGTCTAGTTAAGTTTTGTGTTTGCAAGTATGTTGAATCTTAGATAAGTAATATAGAAGTGAGTTCAGAATCCAAAGTTTTGTGTTGTTGTTTTTAATTTTTCTATACATTTACAAACTTGAACTTATAAAATTATAGGTTAATTTTTCTTTCAGGACACTGACGATGGCACTAGCTCTGATTATAATCCCATTTTTACCGGCCAGTAACTTGTTTTTCCGTGTTGGTTTTGTGATAGCTGAAAGAATACTCTATTTATCCAGTATTGGTTTTTGTATACTTGTTGTTCTTGGTGTCCGCCACATCTGCGTTACCTTCCCAAAATACTCAAAGGTATTTACTTATCAAATATGATCACCTTAATGAACATAATATATATTTTACCACTTGCCTCACACTGCTGTTGGTTCGAATCCCGACAGGGACTTTGAATTTGTTCATGTGAGGAAGCTATCCAGCTAGCTTATGGAATGTCTGTGGTTCTACTCAGGTGCATGTTCATGGCTGAAATAATACATGAAAGTGCACCAGAGGTCTTCATCCACCACTAAAGCTGGAAGGTGGTCAAATGACCTATACTGTGTTGGTGTGAAGTAAAACCCAATAAAACAAACAAACATATATAATTTAAAGCTAATTGGGAACATGTTGTGTCTTCATTCGAATAATCCTATGAAGATGCAACTATGTTTGCAAGTGTCACACAATTTTATAATGGAGAGCATTGTCAATTACAAATTGTTTTGAATATGTTATTTACGGTGGTTAACATCATTTTGTGTTATTTCAAAAAACTGTTTTAATTACTGTATGAACAGTATGAACATAACATTCATCACATAAGGCTCTTTAGTTATCATTTCTTAGTGTTGTTAGAAATTATTCTTTGAATGAAAGGTTATCTTATTCTTTGAGATTGTTACAATAATTAGTATTTATTTAAATGCTTTATTTGAACAATTTTCAGTATATGCTGCTAGGAACAGTGTTTTTACTGTCCATTTTTACACTACGATGCATTCAGGTAATGACTTTCTTTCATGTTATACCTCAATATTTATTTAAGATTTTTTTTTGAGAAACTCAATCATGTTGACTCTTTCTATAGAAACGATATAAATCATTGAAATAAAAGATCCATTGTTTGTAGAATACTTGTTTTCGTTTTTAGTTCACAAGAGAATTGTAGTTTAAAAAAGAGATGTACTTTTCATTAATTGATATTATCTGATTTTATAAATACACTTCAATTCTTGCATATTTTATTCTAACACAATCTGCATTTTTATACATATTGAACATAGATGCACTGAAAGTGTGCGTAAATATGCAATAAAATCACTATTAACAATCAATATTTAGACATGTGATGTACCCATTAAAAATGCAATGTGCTGAAAATAAGTACGGAAAAAAATCAGGTGCATTTGAGCTTTATATCAGATATGGCAGCATTTATGCGTTGATGTTGTGTTAGAATCAAAATAATATCGCTTGATAAAATCACTGTTTGTTGTTTGCATGTGCATCATTGTTATTATTGAGGCTAAGCACTTGTGATAGCTACTTCAAATAGTGATTTTATTTAGCTATTAAATCACTGTTAGGGATATATTATTTCTTAATTGTGATATGTGTTGTTTTTCTAGAGAAGCAGTCAATGGCGAAGTGAGATGGAATTGTTTTCATCTGGTCCTCAAGTTTGTCCTGGGAATGCAAAGGTAAACCCCATTAGTGAATGATTCAGTTAAGAATAGTGCAGGAATGTTATTATTAAGAGTGTTAACTATGTTTTGATTCTAGTGACGTTATGCTCATCCAAGTGTCAATGGTGGGTGCACAGATAGTCAAAATACCTTTACATTTTGCCACAACTTTGTCCAATGCAAAAATAATCAATTATCCATGTGACCCACAGACTTTTCAGTAAATATTGTACGGACTAATTGACATTGATAATGTATAAATTGTTTCGTTTTGGTTACTTAACAAAATAATACTTTCAAATAAATTTTCAAAAGTTTTAATGAAAATTAGCATGAATTGGGAGGCGTATGCTGCTAACTACCATAGTTATTTCTTTACTAATGCATGTATATGCATATCATTGATTTTAAAATAAATATATCTTGTAACTTGTTCAATAGCTTGTTATATTGAGGTGTTTGTTGTTGTCTAAAATTACACAATGCTGAACTTAGATATCTGTTGTGCTTATCTAAATAAATTGGAATGTTTTATCCATTTGCACTTTCACTGCTGTTGGTTTGAATCCGTCAGAGCACTTTGGATTCTCAAGTGCAAAAACTATTCAGCTATCTAACAGAATATCAGTTTTCTACTCAGGTGCCCGCCCACACATGCCTGAAATCATGCACGGAAGGGCACCTGAGGCCTTCCCCCATCAATAAAGTCACCATATGGCCTCTTCTGTGTTGCTGCAAGGTAAAACCCAGCTACTAAAAAAGCAATGCTTTATAATATTTTTAATTAATTTATAATTTTATTATTTTTGTTATATGCAGGTACATTATAACATAGGTAAATTACATGCAGACCAGGGGAATATAGAATATGCTATAGAGAAATACAGGGAAGCTATAGAGTAAGTGACATCTTTTACAGTACTTAATATATCTTATACGCTTACCATGATTTTAATTTAAAACTATAGTACAATATTGATTCAACTACAGGCAGAGAAAGACTAAGAGAAATCACACATTACCACCTAATAGGTTGAGATAAATTATTCAAGTCTACTACTTTCGATCATAACAATGATCTTCATCTATATTGATTCAAATCAAAATTGTAAAGAGGTGATTTTGTACTGATACACATGTCTAGTAAATTTTTATGCACCAATAACTTAAAGTGGTTTTGGAAACATAGTTTTGCCCTTGGCCGTCTGGCATGCTGTCTTGCAGTATTTCTGTAGACAAAACAGTGGAATGTGGAGGCATTCATGTCCATATTATTGTTTAAACAAATATAGGAATTATATATATTCAATTATTAATATTCATGTCCTTTACAGTAAAAGATTTAATTAAAATATTTATTTCATCTACTGATATACTTTTATACAGGTAAGAATTCATACTACATGTATTGTACAGGTAAAAATTCAATCTTTTTTCAAGTGAAATAAAATCATTTCAGGTTGAATCCAGAGTATGACCAAGCGATGAATAATCTAGGAAATATTCTCAAAGATAAAAATGAACTGGAGGAAGCTGAAGAACTTCTATCTAAAGCTGTAGCTATCCGGTATGAGACAAGTATAAAAGCCTCCTAGCTAGAATTTTATATTTACCAAAAATCCAACTTCACTTGTTTTTAGCTTGACTATTCAAAGAAAAAGGAAAGTGATTGTTCACACTCAGGCGTTCATGTCACACTTTGGCTTTTTTGCTTTCAAGTTGGTTTCTCCAAAACTACTGAAGGGAATGGGTGGAAAATACACATACTTATTTCAGACCATAATAGAATGTCACTGTCCAAGGCCCATTATTAGTCCCCTACCGGTTTAACCGGAGGGGACTTTAGGTTTACCCTCCGTCCGTCTGTCCGTCTGTCTGTCTGTCCGTCTGTCTGTCTGTCTGTCAGTCCGTCAGTCCGTCCGTCCACAAAACTGGATCCCGCGATAACGCAAAAAGTACTGAAAATATTTTTATGAAACTTGATATATGGATAGATGGCAGTATGGAGATTATGCACGTCTTTTTTTTTTTCTTCCTATGTTAAAAATTCTGGTTGCTATGGCAACAAATAGTCTGAAAATATGGCAAATTTAACACATAAACTGGATCCAGTGATAACTCAAAAAGTACTGAAAATATTTTTATGAAACTTGAAATATGGGTAGATGGCAGTCTGGAAATTATGCACATCTTTTTCTTTTCTTCCTATGTTGAAAATTCTGGTTGCTATGGCAACAAATAGCCTGAATTTCAAGATTTCTGATTTAAATTTTTTAGCTTTTTCACTATATGTTCTTTATTTCTTAAGGTGTTTACTTCAAACTTTAAATATAAGTTTCTGGTCATCAACCACATCATATGTGACAAGGTTTATAACTCTAGCACAAAAAATATCAGTATTACCTCCCTTGAACTTAGATTTTTTAGGGGAAAAAATGTTGTCTTTTTTTAAATAACTTCTTTATTTCCTAATGTATCTACTTCAAACTTCATATATATGTTTCTTATTATCACTCGACATTTTTTAGAAGGTTAAATACTCTAGCAAGACTATTTCCAGAATTATGTCCCCCTTGAACTTAGATTTTTTTCGAGAAACTGGTATTTTCACTCCAACTTCTTCATTCCTTATAGGATTTACTTTAAAATCCCACATCGTAATAATATGACAAGGTTGTATAAACATAATTTCCTTACTAAGCATGGAAACTTAACACATTACTGTGATATAGACAAACTTATTTTATTATGTTTTGTGGTCGATATTTTCAAATACAGACTTCATCCTCAAATTCATTATAAATGGCAATACACAGGAGTGTATGACAATTAAAGAACTTTTTGAGGGACCGGTAGGGGACTACTCTATTGCCCGCAATACTATCAAATGCTTGTTTTAATATGGATTTTGACTGAACTATTGACGTTTTTGAACTTAGAAAATTCTTCATTATCAAGGTTCATTTGAAAGATAAACCATGCATTATTGTACCACAACATAGGAAACATTTATATCTATTTCCATTCTTTCATGCTAATTGAATTAGAACTGCTGGAAATATGTGAAACTTCAATGAACAGAGTTGTAATTTTAATGACATCATTTTGTATATTGACATTTAACTTGGACAATGTAAACATTTATTCTATTGTTCCATGATATATATCATGCAATGATTTGCTTAGAAGCTCAGGCTGATTAATAAGGGAATAATGTGAGGAATTATAGAATAAGCAGATCATTTTGCCTGGAGCTGATTAAATCACCTTAAAGTTCTTTTCCTGGAACCGACCAGTACTGGTGGTATATAAAGTCAGATGGCCGTGAATCCAGCAGGGGATGAATCCAATTTTGCTGGATTGAAGGAAAGGCATCCTAATTTTTGGGCTGCCTATATCTCATTAATGTGTAAATGTTATAAAGATGATATCTTAATAATCAATAATTTTAAAATACACTTCAGCCTCATTATAACGATCATGTTGGGGTCCAATGTCTCAACACCACGTTCTAAGGAGGCTCTAATTAGAACGCTCATTGCTAAATTACCGCATTACCCCACCCACCGCCTATATATATAACGCTGACGATTTTTACTTACTGTTCAATGAATATCAACATTATCTTTTTCAATATATTATTCACAAATACTGTATACATTTATATATAACATTTGCTGTGTTGCTATGATGTTACAGAGAAGAATTTGCAGCTGCATGGATGAACCTTGGTATTGTGAAAGCTTCAATGAAGAAATATGAGGAGGCAGAAAAATGTTACGGGACGGCAATTAAACATCGCAAAAAATATCCAGATTGTTTCTACAACCTTGGTAACCTGGTAAGATATAATGTAACAACTATGATATATCATGAAAATTTTTCTTTTACATTGTCTGTATAGTACCATCAAAAATGAATTGTTTGAAAAATATGCCTCTTTTTTATGTTAGTGCTATTACTACAGGTACTTTCTCTACCAAAAATGCTTGTACATCATATTTAGCTTGTCTGTTTGGAACAAAATATCAAGGTTTATGCTGTGGTATCAGCATCATTGTTGTGCAAAAACTTTAATATAGCCCAGATTAAAACATGTTAGAAATTATCAATATGAAGCTTGGAATACTTGCTTATTATGACAAAATACAGTTGTTAGACAAGGGGCATAATTCTAAATCAATATTTTTGTAGTTGTGCCCCTTTTTAACTTAGAATTTTTAACAGATGAGTGTTATCACACAATGGGGTGTTCTTGAATGTTTATTCACAATTATTACCAACAATATATAGAAGATTGAAGCAGACTGCTTCTTTTTAAAATAATGAATATTCAACTTGACAACTAAATCTTCTTGCTGAGGAAACCAGAAAAGAAAATTTAAAGTGACTATAATAGATTTAGATTGTCAACATATGCAGCATTTTGAAAATAAGCTTAATATATCAAACTATGTCAATGAAATGAAATTTTCCCATAAATTAGGTAGACTATTATAATGCTATTTTCAGTACCTGGAGGTAAAGCAGTATGATAGAGCTGTCGAGGCCTGGACTAACGCCACAAACCTCAAACCTACTCACTCGCAAGCTTGGATCAATATGGCTGTAGTCTATGATAATATAGGTAGGTTTGTTATCAACTCTTGTGAAGTTATTCAGCTATGAATAAGGACCATTAGTTGTGGAGTTATATCCAGTATAAAAATACACAATTAAGTAGGCATCAGCCTCTTCAGACTTCATGTATGTGCCCGCTGGTCTGTCTCTGTACTGATAAAAGAAAAAAACAGTTAATAGTTTTAACATTGTTATTGGGAGGAGGCATTTAAACTTGACCTCGTTGTTGTGTGTGTGTCCATTATCATGTGTCACATGTAGCTCTAAAAGTGCTTGAGCTAGAGTAAACAAAATTCACAGGATTGTTGATCAGCATGTGATGTTTTGAACCTGGGATTTTGCTTGTGGATTTATTCAATTTTGTCAGATCTGTTGCCCTTGATTTAGTAAAACTCTGCTACTTTTAATTTGTCTCATGCATAGCTCAAAAAGTATTTAACCTAGAGTCATGAAACTTTAAGTTTGCTTGTGGATTTATTCCATATATGTAGAGTTAATGCCCTTTACTAAATAAAAATTTGCAATTTTCAACATGTGTCTTGCCTAGCCGAAAAAGTATTACTTTTAATAGCTTGACTACTCCAAGAATAGGGAGAGCTATTGTACTCACTTAGGTGTTGGCGTCACTATATGGTTACGGTTTTGCATGCAGGTTGGTATCTTCTTAACAACTGAATGGAATTGGTTGAAATTGTATACACTTACTTAAGAGCATAAAAGGGAGGACACTGTACTAGGCCTATCACTCTAGCATGGATTTTAATAGAATTATGGCCCTTTTTGAACAGAGAAAATGTTACATTTTCCAGGCTCTTGTTTTACTATCAAGCACTGAGAATAGTCAAGTACGCTGTCCTATAGGCTATGTGTTCACTTATATTGAGGCTTGCTGCTTAAACCAACTAAAAATGATCTTTTTTATGTTTAGGTTTTATTTCTGTATTTTTTTTTCAGAAAAATTTGATGAGAGTATTGCAGTGAGCATGAAAGCCCTGAAATTTCTACCAGAGGAACCACAGCTGTATTTTAACCTAGGAAATGTTTATGGTAAACTGTCCAAGTTTGTCGAGAGTGAAAAGAATTTCCTGAAAGCCATCAAACTGTCTCCAAAAAATGCCAAGTTTATTGCTAATATGGGTAAGTTTGTGTAAATTGTGTTATTAGAATTAGTTCACTGTATTTTCAGAACAATATTAATACACTGTATGATAATTTTCCTTATTTTAGTGACTCTTTCTGGTTGACTTTCTTTCTTATCCTGCACATTACAATTAATGTCTAAGTAAATTGTTGTCTCTTGTACAAGTAATTGGTTTAAGTGACCACATGGCGGGATGGTTAACGCGTCATCTAATGATCGCTAGCTGCATGGCTTCAAATATTGTCAGGTGCAAGTTGTTTGTTCTAGGAACAGATTCGAAAGTGTGTCTATAAACTTATAGCTTCATTCTCAATCAAACGAAAATAAATTCTGTATAAACCAAGTAATTTGTTCAAAATCTTACCTTGCATGTCACATGATGAAACTTTTTCTTTCTGTATGCTGTGATGTGTTGATGTATTTCATTGGCTGGCTTTGTAACTTAAATTATACTTATATACCACTTTAGTTTTATATACTGCTTTTCCAAGTTATGTAACTATGATTTATGTATTTTCAGCTGTTTTATACCACAGATGGGAAAAGAATGACAAGGCAGAAGAACTGTATAGGAAAGCATTATCTGTTAATCCAAATGAACCAAATGTGAAGGAAAATCTAGCCATGTTGCTACGTAAAATGAACAAGAAAGCTTCATGAAGTGTCCAGACATTGGGAGAAACCATTTAGCTAAGATCAAATGCGACTCTTGCATAGAGACTTGCAACTATTTTTTCAGAGAGTCTTTTAAAACTGATTGAACGCATTCAGCTTAGATCAAATTTAATGCAGCTATTTTTTTTTCACAGAGACTTAAGCAAAAATTGAAAACTATTTTTATGTTTGTGTGTAATGATTTATCCTGTATTGAAATGTTGTACTAACTGTAAGCATGAATATATACCTTAACTTATGAATGTCAATTGTTAAGTCATATATGATGGTGAATTTTGGAAATGGTAGACTAAAAGATAGTACAATGTTTAACATACATGCAGAAATAGTATCTCAAAAGTTTTTATTTGAAATAAGAAAAAAGTCTAAACATTATCAAATACTGTATATGTTATCAACCTCTACAAGGTCACAGAATATTGCAATTTCAGCACCATTCCAGTGTTATACAGTTATTATGTGTTTAAATATCTGTACCTAGAAGCAAGATATTTATGACACAACCTGTACAAAAAGTCTTGCATGAAAAATGGTAATTTTACCCGATGACAATTCTCTGCTATGGTTAGCGGACCTTGTATTTCTTCCAGGGAAGAATTCATCATGATTTGAAGTGAAGGAGCATTGGCATTGCATGGTGACATTTTTTGTCTCCATGGCAGCAAACCACTTGCGCCAATCACTGCTGTGGGTTCAAATCCTGCCAGGGACTTTGGATTCTTTCATGTAGGTAAGCTATTCAGCTAGCTTACGGAAGATTGGTGGTTCTACTCAGGTGCCCGTCCATACCTGAAATACTGCATTAAGGAGCACCTTAGGTCTTCCTAAACCAGTAAAGCTGGAAAGTAGTCATATGACCTATACTGTGTTGGTGTGACAATAAATCTAACCACGAAAAATAATCATAGTAGCAACCTGATTACTACGCAGCATAATAATAGTGATACTTATACTTTCATTTTTGTCTTTATGCATATTTTTTGTTTGTTTTTAATTTAACACTTATTGTTTGATAGAGCATAATGATTTGTCTGTTGGTTGTGAAATTCAAACCTTTTCAGCCTTTGTGAATAAATTTGCTGCTGATCTGAACCCTTAACACATGTATGTATTCAATTGTGTGGGATAAAAGTGCATGTAGAATTCATTAAATTTGAGCTGGGTCATGACAAAACCAACATAATGTGTTTGCGACCAGCATGGATCCAGACCAGCCTGTGCATCCGTGCAGTCTGATCAGGATCCATGCTGTTCGCTTACAGACCCTATAACAAGTACAGAAACTGATAGCGAACAGCATGGATCATGATCAGACTGCGCGGATGCGCAGGCTGGTCTAGATATATGCTGGTCGCAAACCCATTATGTTGGTTTTGTCATGATGCGACTCAATTATAAGTATCTCTAATGTGCTAGGTACTTAGGAGAGTATCATTCAATGTTATTTTCTTTATATTTTTCACCAATTTGTATCATTTAAAGTTAATATTAACACTGTAGAGAAATTATTGTACTATTTACATACTCCTCATAGTTATTTTCATCTTATGTTGATACATGCACTTGAAAATATGTACATGCTCAGAAATCTGTACATGCTCAGAAATAGTGACTATAATATCTAAAAGTAATATATATATTATGTAGAAAATAATATTACATATATGTTTGTGAAATCTCATTTATGACATGATGTGGAAAGATTGCAATAAAGTATATATATGCTAATGTTAAACTGTTCCAAGGATTATAAAAATGATTAAAATTTGAAACTATCAAATGATTTTTCAAGGTAATTAAAAGAGCTAGTGTATCCTACTGTTTCTTAGATTGCTTCAAGTATTTCTAGATTTATTATCATTTTTAACTATTTTGACTTAAAACTGTCAAAATTTTTGTGCTTTATACACAAATTGTTAAAAAACTTCGTTCTTTTTGGAGGAAAACATTTGGTTTTTTGTAATGAATCAGTAATATTTTTCTTTCTCCTAAATATACTGTAACCAATCTTGAAACTGTATATTGTGATATTAATATGGGATTGTTTTTTCATGAGTTAGAATCCTAGAACTGTGTATTACAATTGAATGGAATTTCTAGTTTTTGCTAAAAATGTGTACATTTCTCCTAGTTTTCAACATTATTTATTTCTAGTTTTCTCCTGGTTTTTGTTTTTAGTAACATGCTTTGTAAGAGATGGTATTTGTTCCTAATCAAATTTTATATCGGCAATTAACACTTTTTTGTTTATGTATTTTGGAAGTTTTACATATCAATATAGACATTGTCTCATTGCTCATTATTTGCTCCACTATGCGAAGTATAGGGAGAGCTATTGTACTCACCCAGGACTTGGCATCACACTTTGGTTAAATTTTGTTTGTTACATTAAAGTTGGTATCTCAAAAACTACTGAAGGGAATGGGTTGAAACTTCAAACACTTATCTGATAGCATACTAGAATGTCACTCTCCAAGGCCCATAACACTAATATGAATTATGACCCCTTTTTGAACTTAGAATTTCTTAATTATCAAAGCTCTTGTTTTGCTACCCATCACTGAGAATAGTCGAGCACACTGCCCTATTGACAGCTTTTGTTTTATGTTTTGCATTTAGAAAACATGATGTATGTACTTATGTTTGAATATTTTTTATGTACACATATATTTTTGCTTGAAGATGTTAAGATTATTTTCATAGCTTTTTACCATATTTTGTTATTTGAGTAGATTTTAGAAGACAGACCTTATATTAGTATTTAGTGTTTGAATTGATTGTTTTACTTTTGTAAAATCTACTATTTTATTTTATAAATAAAATGTTCAGTTATGTTTCATGCCTAGACGTTTGTAGACTCAATAAAGTTAGTGTCACACAGAAATTTATGTCTTCTTTGAAAAATACATCATTTTAATGGCTATTTGACAGCCCTGAAAAAAATACTTCTGTAAAGAAGTGTTACTTTTGGTAAAAGTGTATTCCTACAGAAGTTTTAAATCAGCTAATTTCTGTCAATAAATAAATACTGATACTGTCAAAACCTTTATCAATATCATGTAAACAAAATATAACTTGGAGATGAATTTTCCTGCTGAGTCTACTTTTAAGTTATACTGTATAAGTGGTTGATTTTGCGCCATGGAAATATTTGCGATTTTTGCGAATTTAAATTATTCACAAATATTTGATTGTGCAAAAATTATTTCTTTTTAGGCAAACTTCCTTCTATCATTTGAAAATATTTTCATACAGAATCTTACATGAATAGAAGTTTGACTGTACAGGTACTGAGATTTATTTAGGTATCAAATAACTGAATAGAACAATTACAATAACTGCATATTCTGAACATGTACCTGCTTAAACAAAAACAGTATTTAATTCAAGAAATCATATTCTTGCAAACATTTTGCATGTAAAAAGTCCAATTTTAGACTTCTGCAAAATTTTTGTGACGCATAAATATCCACTTATACAGTAATCTGTCTACATGCTTTTGATAGGAATACCATGATGCTGAGGAGATATTTTTGTACTCAAATTTGTATAGAAGTTTTTTGATCTCAATGTTGTTAGATGTCATCATTGTAAGAACATTAATAAAATTACATATAAAAAATCTTATTAATATAATTAATAATAATATAATTGTGTTGTTTTTCATTATCATGTGAGTGTGAGCCTCATTCAAATTAATATTGTTGTCCTTATTTGATTTAAACATATTTATTTTAGATTGATTATGCATAAATATCCACTTATACAATATTTTGTTTACATGCTTTTAATAGAGATTTGCTGGATTTGTTCGTAAATACCATGATGCTGAGGAGATATTTTTG